GCTTCAATGACGCTTAAATATACAAGGCCGTGTACCTCTTGTACAAGGTGCAGCAAGTCGCTTAGATTGTTCTTACGTTACCTTCCTCACTCAAAAAAAATCATCAGGTCGCATATCGCATGGCAGCATGCCGAACTGTTCCATCCAACAAGAGGGTTACGTAAATATTCACGGCGCGGTTGTTTTCGAGCCGAGGTATTGGTATTTTTAAAAAATGACATTGATCCGAAGAGTATGAATAGTGTTGATTACTCTAAAGCGTCTCGGTTCTGCTCCCAATTAGAGCGCACAAACCTATCCTCTGTGCGAATGCTCTGAGATCAAAGCTTTGCTTTTGCATAGTGGACGACAACTCCGTTGCATTTGGTAACGCTTGCCGTTGTTCCTACGATTCAGTCGTGAAAGACTGTATAAGATGTTCAAATTCCTGCCCTGGAATTATAAATGGGCGCTGTTCACGACAGTCTCTAAAACACAACACACACGCTTGTGCGACGAAAACGGAGAAGCTTTGTTTAACTTGAAGGGAAAGGGACAGCTCCGACTTGGAAAAATCTGAGGTGTTGAAGGCAGATTTGCAAATGAGCTAAAAAAGCTGATGATTATATAAGCTACATAAAACAACCCTCAAGGGCTCCTAACGGGTTTATTAAAAAATGTGGGTTCCTATAAATAATTATACAAGAAAGGGTGTACTTTACACCTCAGCTTAAACTTATACAAGATCTTGAATGTATAGAGCTTGAAAACTCGTGATTAATTTTAAGCAGAAGCGTAAGCCTAACACTTTAAGAGACAGAGACAAGTCAATCTTCTCACCAATGTAAATACCCAAGCAGGATTTAGCTTTCTGTATCACATGGAATCTTTGTGACTTCATAGAAGATGTCACAAATGCTTGTGGGGACACCATACTGTCATCCGTTTGTTATATACGCCCACAATGCACACAGAAGGTACATTTGTAATTGCTAACTGTAGCTCATTAGAGGGACAGATTGTCAGCTAACAAGCTTTGAACTTTGGTTAGACCGCATCCGTTTGGAGTTGTACCACGAAGATGCTAATTGTTACCGTATCCGGGAGAGGGTGGGACTCTATTGCGGCGATGAATATTTTTAGCTTTTGGACATAATTTGTTCTCGCCTCCTTTGACGGGTTGACAAGGACTTCGAACGCACTCGATACCTTTGGTCAGGCAAAGCAAAAACCCGCGATATATGTGGCTTCATAAGTCTCCATGTTAGGTATGGCTAGTCCTCGGAGGTACTGCATGTTTGTGGCCACTCTCGCGCGCAGACTGCTATTTAGGGATCGAATGTGCGACGCGCTGTCACTGGAAACATGGCTGAATCTATGCCATATCACCTTCCTTCATCCAAAGAGAGATTTTTTCGACTTCTCTTAGAAGAAGTGGATCTCTGCACACTTATCTCATTATACGCGCTATGCGTGCTTTCACTGAAGCCCGCTTGGAGAGCTCCTGACGGTTGCACTGGTAAGCTTCCGCAGGAAAGCAATCACCAGTTCTGGTGCTCGAACCTCCGGTTCACTGACCCCCGAAGGCTAACAATGGACGCGAGCTTTCCAAACATCTCAGGTTTTTTCGAACAAGTACTCGATCATCCCATGTTCCATCCCCGCGGATAGCGAAGTCGATTCACAACTCATTCTTGGTATGGACTACAAGCGCTACCAAGTGCCGTGCAACAATCACAGAGTCCGCGAATACAGCGCTCAAAAGTTGGGTTTGTACACCACACCCATGAGCGAAACGGACCCACCAAAGTAGCTAAGTAGTTCGTGTGCTCTGTTACTTTTAGAGATTATGTAACAAGGAATGAATATGTTTAAAATTGATACCGATGATACACTGTTACTATATCCGATCATAATGCAATATATATTGCTTGATCTCCTATGTGTTCCACGGACTTTTCCTTCACGGAGCCCGATCATCTTCATAATTACCGATACACCGATATACTTATGAATACTCGCAGTTACACAAAAATGTAATGTGAAGTCCACCCGATGTCGCTTTATTGATGGTGACTCAACGTCGTGGGATTTTCATTTGGTGTTTTTGATTTTATGCTTCCAACTTGCCGTACTCTTGCCATCTAATACCATATCAGCCTGTCGTGTTAAAATAAGAGGCGCATCTATCTTGATCATTATCGACGCGTACGAAGCCGTAACATTTTTATGACACAAGTACGCAAATATATTATGTAAATTGTACATGCTTTGCATGCTGCTTTGCCTCGGACACTGACATAAAACGACCACTTTTCAGCTGCATGTGCTGATCCTAGTCACGACCGCTCGCCCAACGCTAACGAGGAGATCTGGATGACCAGATTTTTTTGGCCATTTGTGTTCTCCAAATGTCAGAAAGTTTCTTATGCTGCAGGCGGGCGAACGTCTGGATTTAAGAGTGGGTTTAAATCTGGAGAGCTAAGCCCAGAACAAGGCTAGTGGGGGCTGTCCGCAGCCCATAATCAGACAAAGTGCAAGGGTGCAAAAACAACAATCCCTAAACTGCTACGCATCAAAGAATTCGTCTTTTGCCAATTAAAAATTTGGTAGGTTGAGGACGAGCCACCTGGATCCATGAGTGAGAAGGGGTTCTTGACTACGTTCAGAGTGTGGCTCCCACAACCTCCTCTTTTCTACAGAGAACTGTACGAGTGCTTCGGTCTATCCGCTATTCTGAACCTTATCCTACGCTGACCTATTCAGGCGAAAATTTGTCATTATAAAAACTGAATGTGTGGACAATTTGGTAAAGCGCGATTGGTCCGTTCTATTGTTGCTAGCCTTAAAGGTTTCGTTTCCAAATAAAGCTTTATTTTTTTTAATTTTAAATCCATCCTATGCTTATATAAGTATCACATCCGTATTATAGCTACTGCGTGCAGGACGTGTCTCCCAATCTGTGCAGGAATGATGCTTCAGTAACTCATCACACAATAAAAGCTTCTCAGCAAAAAATTCGAGCTGTTTTTCGCTTCATTTCCCAAATCTTGATTTAGGCCTTCGTCGAAAGTGAAAAGTAATGATCGGAAACAGTCTCGCGTCAGAATTGCGGACATAGATCCCCACCTAATTGTTTGCAGCCAAGTTTTCACACGCAACGTTGTATAATTTTGATATATGTGTGATCCCGTTATCGTGTTCCCTCATTCTCAAGGGAGAACTATGGTATAGTACTACGGTAACATAATGTGATCAAGTACAATGATATGTATATGGTACCGAATGTGTCGTACTCCTTGCAGAGGCTGCGACGGCTACTTTGTCAGTACAGGCTGGAAAGCATTTTCCAGCTCGCTCTGTGGGTGATAGCGACAAACGTTAATAGCAGCATTTTGATTCATTTTTACATACTGCTTGCTCTCCAGAGCCATTAATGCGTCAGCTACAATTTAAACTCGCAAGATGAAATCTGACTAAAAATTCTGATGGTAATATCACAGTATGTGTAACAAGAAGGTATCATTTGCAAAAATTACGATATTTATCAGTAGTATGACTTCGGCACATATTATATTATTCATCATGTGTCAACTAAATACGATATTACTCCATCTAACATTTTACACACTAAGTGATCGGTCCCTGTTAAAAAGTTCTAAATTTTGTATATAGGTAATTTTTACAAACGTCACAATTTCAGATCTACTGTAACATTTGCTCACACCATAATTAATTTTGTCATCTACCCAACGATCATCATAAATTGGGTGTAGTCCAAATCTAGATAGGTACACAAGTAATTTATCAAGTGACAATATCGTCTTAAGCTAAAGAAAATACACTTAAGTTTTGGAGGGAATTCCTCGCTTGTGCTTGATATGCTGTTTCTGCAATTTCGACAATACCGTTTTCGTTACCACAAGACTCAGAGCATGCTCGATCAATGGTGTTTCCGCCAAAATTTCGTCAGCCTTGTCTGCAAATGTATTGAAAAACTGCATGATTTCATCAATGGGCTTGTTCATGACAAATTTTTCCGAGAGCTGTAGTAATGCGAGCGCAACTCGAAGCATAATCTTCCAATTGTGGTCAAATATGAAAATATCCCAGATCCGATCCAAAGAATCTAGAGGAAGCACATTAAGGTAAAGATACATCGTTTGAAACCAACCAACAGCAAACATCTCGATCGGAACTTTTTCGCTGGAAAAATGATGAGCAAGTTCTGGTTTCGTCAATTCTAAAAGTCGTTGTGCTTGAAAACAATGCACATGCAGAGTTGGAAGTCCGGGAGCAAACATCTCTTGCAGCCCATAATTTTCAAACAAGGCCACCATCAACCAAAAGGTACGTTCAGCTTCAGCTTTGACATCGGGTGTAGACCCGCTCAACTTGACATTGTTTAAAATGTTAGCTGCAATGTAATCCATTCCTTGGCAGTAACCAACAGCAGGAAATCGACCAGCCAATGCGTGTAGAATCTCACTAAGCTGTGTGGATAACTCTTCGTTCGACTCTTGATCTTTATAATTTGCTGCGCGTTTGTGAGGCGCCACACGGCCATATGTACGACGCACATCTGTCGAAATAGATTCGGTGGCATCACCCTTGGACAATCCCATTTGCAGGTACGTATCGTAATCCAGTTCGTCAGCTTTACAGAGTTCACGAACGCGTGCAGTCTTCACCCAGTACGCAAATCGGTATCGTGGAGATAGCTGTCCATAACGTACGCAAAACTTCTCGAGTCTTTGTTCGGAAGCAATAAAGTCATGACAAACTTTGTTCACGCATGATACTCTCGCCAGAGTAGACAAGTCTCCACAGAAGAGCAAAACTGTACCAAGGACGTAAGGTGTTGCAAAACATCGATTGCCAGGGCTAGCTGACACAGTATTAGTTGTTTGGGAGTTCAAATGCGCATTGCCAATCACTCGCACTACATTAATGTTCCAATATCACATTAGCGAAGTAAATCATCAAGTTATATGTCAACTTACCCCTTCTTAACAATCCCATTGCTTTTGAAGGTGATTCAGAAACGTTGTTTCCAGTCTTGTATTTTAGTAGAAAGAGGGAATTGGCACCTTTAGGATCTTCAATGTTTTCAAGTGTATCAACTGTAGTATCTCCCAGATAAATGTCCGTCATGACATTCAATCCCATAGTCTGAATCCGCCCAGCCGCCGGTCGAGCAGCCGCTAATTTCGTTTTAAGCACACTCCAGCCATGAGTGGACCCTTCCTTTACTTTACTTGCTGCTGTTGTCAAACCTGCAGTAGCTGATGACTTCGCCTTGACAATCGAAGGTTGATACTTATCCAATCTGTAGTAAAATAGCCCCAAAATTTGTCAGCTCAATTATTAATTCTCTTGTACATATAACTTACTTTTTGCTCGTTTTATCCTTAATATTCGCCATTGACAGCTGCGGTTTTAATGTCTTTTTTGCTGTAGCTGCTCGTCCTTTCATGCGTCCAAAAGCGCTAGTCAGACCTTTTCCATTGTCTCCAGTCGTGGAAGGTTCGTCCACATCTTCGTTGATCGCGGGGTCCAAAGTATTTAGCATCGGAGCGGCAGGTGGAAGTTTTTTGGTAGCTTCATCTTCCCCTGCAAAGCTCGAAGCAGATGATGATGAAGCGGGTGATAAGGCTGGCTGAGCAGACGCTACAGCTAATTCCTCCTCCTTGTGCAAGGCATTGGAAGGCTCTGTCGACATCTCCATTGCTCCAAGTGGATTCAATAGTGATGTGAAAATTGCCTTTTTTTCTGAAAAACTGCCGAGCCTTTACGCGATGACTACTAGCTAATATTAGCCAAGATTTGTAGTATGGGTGGACAATGCTCATCCATAGGCTAATGCTGATGCCGCCATACACCTGTTCAATTACATCGTGCTCTCTACTAGGTTTGCGGAGAATCGATTCATGATGTATGTGATTCGTTACTTCTTCTTGCTAAAGACGTTAAGCAGGTGTTTGTTTTATTTTATAGCTTGATGACTTTAGACTGAAGATGGCACAAAGATACTTAAAGACCTCGCTGATTCAACCTTACGCTCTGTAAATTGACTTGAGGCGCAATGACGACTAGATGCTATGACGTTGTTGTAGCTTTTCGGTAATATGCTGAATCGTTAGATAAGTTATTAATGTTTTTCAGCCAATGGTTGCTTGATAGCTTCCCAGCCACATACGATAATGCCGCCACACCAGACCCCAGGTCCCGGCTGCAAGAAGAGCGTGGACCTTATTATCTTCGCAGCTCACGTGATTCCTGTTGTTCCGCGCAATGTAGTGCTTGCCAATCATGCAATTGTTATCAACGATTCTCGAATACTAGCACTGCTGCCTCAGAATGAGGCTCAAAAGCTCTACATTGGCACAGTGGAGCGTCATCTGCCGAACCACATTGTTACCCCAGGCCTCGTAAATCTGCACACACATTCGGCTATGACGCTGCTGCGGGGACTGTCTGATGACAAGCCGCTGCATGATTGGCTTACGCAGGACATTTGGCCGACTGAGAGCGCATTCGTTAGCCCCGACTTTGTTAAGGTCGGAATGACACTCGCTGTCGCAGAGATGCTACGTGGCGGTACCACTTGCTGCAATGATATGTATTTTTTTCCCGACCAGATATGTGAAGTATTAGAGACAACAGGCTTTCGAGGAGCAGTGGGGCAGATCGTCATGGAGTTTCCGGGACCATATGGCTCCGGACCCGACGACTATTTGATCAAGGCAAAACCAAATCTTGAAAAATTTGCTCCTGGATGCCATGACCTCATCACTGTGACTATGGCACCTCATGCGCCGTACACAGTTTCGGACAAAAATCTGCAGCGAGCGGATGCAATAGCAAAAGAGCACGAGGCTCGAATGCACATCCATCTCCATGAAACAGAAAATGAGTGTGTAGATAGTGAAAAGCTCAATCGTAAGTCCATGACCTGTCATCAGAGTGATCAAAATTTGCGTCCGTTGGCAAATTTGAAGCGAATGGGCTTGCTGTCTGATCGTCTCATTTGTGCCCACATGACACAGCTCACAACCGAAGAGATGAAAGACATTGCTAGTGCTGGCGCCCACGTGGTGCACTGCCCGTCATCTAACCTTAAGTTAGCGTCGGGTATTGCTCCAATCACAGCCATGCTTGAGTGTGGTGTAAACGTTGGCATTGGCACGGATGGTGCAGCTAGCAATAATTCTCTTGACATGTTTGGGGAAATGAAACTGGCTGCCATCTTGGCCAAGGCCCAGACTCTGAAAAGCTTTAGTGTACCTGCTGTCGAGGCGTTGCAGATGGCTACATTGAACGGTGCGCGTGCACTTGGCCTTGAGAAGGACATTGGGTCTATTGAAGTGGGCAAGCGTGCTGACATTATTGCTATCGAGTGCGATAGTATCGAGATGATTCCCATGTACAATGCGATTAGTCATATTGTATACGTAGCTGGTCGTGAGCATGTATCGGATGTCTGGATTAATGGCAAACACCTGCTTGCCAACCACAAGCTCACAACCATTGATGAAAAGTTATTGAAAGAGAATGTCCTTAAATGGACGGCTAAAATCTGCGCTCATCGAGAGCAGCACAGTCATTTTGTGAAAGAATAATATAAATAGATGCCTGGCCTTTTATCATTAGATTGAAGTCTTTGTGACACGCCTTCATTTCCGCTTAAATACGAACAGAAATTCAGAATCAAAGAAAGATGGGGTGTGGCGGGAAGCGCGTTCGAGGTGAAGATCGACGATGCTGAGTCCGTTTCAGCGTTGAAGAACGAGATGAAGGGGAAGAAGATGAACAATTTTTTAGGGACGTTGATGCCGACGACTTACAGTTTTTTTTGGCGAAGCCGCGGCGCGTGGGAGACGGAGAAAGAGGTGAAGGGAGGTGTTGATGACACAAGTGATTTGGAGCTATTGGACGTTGCGAGAGCACTGCACAACTTTGTTGACTTATCGGAGGAAGACGTACGGGTTCGAGTCATGAAGGGTGGTGGTTCCGGGGAGTGCAGTGGAGGATAGCTTTGGAGCTCGAAGGAATTGTCTACTGTGGACCTTCAAGTTCAATTGAAAATGTGGAAGTCAGTTGTCAGAATTTGTTTTTTCAGAAGATGTATGCTCAGGAACAGGAGTGGTTGTGGAATTAACGTCGACGCACTTGTATCTGCTGACGAACTTGTACCTTTGGGTCGACGACACATTCACTGATCACTTAAGTTCTGACTTCACGAAGGAAATCAAACGGTATCGGAGACGCCACCCCCGGATGAAAACAAGTGGAAGGAAAAGGAACGCCACCAATATTAAGGACGCCGATGTTGCAAAGAAACCACGTCATAAATCTACACGGACGGCAGCGATGAAATCATCAGCTAGATTAGACAAGCCTCAAGTTGTGGTGGAGCAACTCCTTCCCGATAGGGTGAAGTCGGAAGAAGTCCACCGGTTCAGTCTCGACAGTGACATTTGCTGGAGTAGTTCGGTGCGTTCGACTTCGCAATTTTCAAAGTTGCTTTGCCACGAGATAACAAGCTCGACCGATGCACAATATCCCTCAAGG